CGAAGCATGGCTCTCCCGCACTTGATTGGGTTCAGCCTCACAGAAAATCGTTTCACCGTCTGAGTGATGTCGAAGTCAAAATCATTTATTTCAATTAGACCAGGACTGCACTTTCGAACGTCGAAACAAAATGTTGAAATATTAAAAAAAATTACCGTCTGTCGGTCAGTCCTCAAGTGAAGCTATTTGCTCGTCCCAAAGTGTAGATTCCTATGGAGAAGAACGAACAAGAAAATCCATAGGTTACTCTTTATCTCTGATGTTACTAGAGGCCCAATCCTCTATCCTTAATCTCCCAATCCACTACCCCTAATAGGCTGGCAATACACTTCAAACTCCTCTAGTGTTCCAGATGTCCATGCTGATGATTGCTTGCCATCAGATGATCCGTATGCTCGTTTACCGGCTTATACTAAAAATTCATATCGGAAAGATATGACCCTTCAAAAACTGTTACACGTTTGCATATACATATTTCCAATAGATATGTTATTACTACAGATATATTGTCGCGGAGAACCTAACAGATTACCGGGGCTCCGGCTCGGCGTGCAGGAGAAGGAACGAGGCGGTTTTTAGTCAGTAAGAGTCTGACACTCCCTTCCGCCTCACCCAAGCGGGAGGAGACATTCGATGATTTTCGCCCCTTAAAAAAAACTACAGATATAATAGATATTGTTATTACTAAAACCATGACTTACTTAATATAACATTTAACAAAGAAAGTAGACTAATATGTATATAGCAATGAATGTTGTACCTAAATTAACAATTAACACAGTTGATAAGCAAATAGTAATATAATTTTATGTCTCGTTGTTATCTATGGAAGTATTGTAATAACCTTATGTTTGTAAAAGGAAATCGATATTTCTTCTCACAATAACTTCGTTAATAGTACCTAGCGGTCCACAGATGGGCTATAGACTTCCTCTGCTTAAGAAGGGTGTGCCATATTCTCTGGGCTTGGCAGGCAAGTTGAGGATCGCACTTTAAAACGTTAAGTGTCATCAGAGATTACTCTCCACAGTCTCCACGATCCACGAATACCTAGGTCTCTTTAAACTGTCAATCACCAAGCGGTCACCGGTGACCGCAACCTATTGTTCTATAATTGTGTCTATAATGACGGTACTCGACGAGTTAAAGGTATAACATTTGCCACCCATCCAAAAACTAACCTCGCCTCGCGTAGCTTAACCTGCAATGTAAAATTACAATATTTTTGTTCGCACCCAAGTGTCACGTGCTGCGCATTATTGTTTTCTATTTGGAACACTTTCACGAAGCCGCGTGTAGCAGCGCAAGGTCTAGAAATGGATCGGTGAACGCTATTGTGATTTTCAATCGAGTATCAGTATGTAACATATTTTATTTTATTTCATTTCAACAAACCTTAAAAGTATTCGCAACAAATTATGTCGATGGTTTTATAAATATTCTAGCTATCATATTTGAAGAATTTATCCAATTCTGTGCAGTAATTCTCTAGTTACGCGCCCACAAACATTCTATCTGTTCATTTGTAATCGAAGTTTATACTAGTTACGTAATGAGATTTACGTATTTGTAACAAAAAAATCTCAAAACTAGATCACTTTGGACGCCTTGAACTTGTGATGCGCAAACGCATAGATATATTTAGACGGGCCAATAGCAAGCGCGCGTTCTCTTATTTTTGGTGCATTCTAATTATTTTTTATGGCGTATCTTAATTAATTTGTTTTATGAGTTTGATAAATTTAGTCTAGTCCAAGGTCACTGTTTTCATTTGAGGATTTACTAAAATAGGGTAGATGCCTAATTTTCATTTTAATGTCCGTCTGGTGGATTAATTTAAATCATAAGACACGTATTTTTTATTTTCTTACAGAAACGAATACTTTCGACGATTTATTGATTTGAAGTGTCGCATGACGTCACTTCTATGTACATTTTATACGTAGAAATGACGTTTTAGCGGGCACTCCTAAAGTTTGATTCGTTTTATCTAAGTATTGTTTTATTATACTTACGACAAAATAACAAAAAATACGTGTCTAATATTTTTTCATTACCTAACTTACGGACCAATAAGATTTTTAATTTTCATACCCTGTCATCATCTCAATTGCTTTTATAGAGGCCCTATCTTCAGCAGTCATTTCATCCCAGGTTGATCGACTGCTGGCTAACCAGTTTGAACAGCAGTCTGTCAACCTATTGCTTTGTGCATCCATCATCTATTTGCTTCCGAAGATGCTGATCTTTTACCAGTTACTTTGGACAGTGGTATTATCAGATGATACAGTGCTGATATTTTTAGTAATTTTTATATGCTAGTGGCTCAAAAAGCACAAAATGATTCTGGAGTCAGAATCGTGTCATTTCACTTTGTAAATTTCGTCTACCTTGACTTAGTACAATCTATGACTCATTCTTGCCTAAACAGGTTTGTTATTGTGGTTTTACAATGAAAAACAGGTTGTCAGTCTGACGTGAAAATGTTGTAAATAAAATAGATAATAGATGAACATAGTTTTTGTTGAAAATGTCGACATTGTAACAATTTGTGACGAATCGATTATATAGCTAAATACGCGTGGCGATGAAGCGGTGTATTCCGCTATGTACTCGCTATATTGTAGCTGATTTTCTTGTTAATTTTTATCATACTGCCGAATGAAGGTTTTTTTTATTTACCTATACTTCTTTAGAATTTGGTTTGGAAGTGAATGTATTAACTATTCATTTTGGTATTTAAGGATGTTATATGGGCAAGGTCTCTGGTTCGATTCCCGGGTCGAGCTAAGTATTACTGGGTGTTTTATAAATTCTCAGTAGTAGCACGAAGTCTAGAATTGTGCCCGGTATATGGCTATAGGCTCACCCCCTATTACATGAGACTCGTAACATAAGTAGTGAAAAGTGGGTGTTTACATTGTACAGTGGCATAATGTACACCTCTGCTTACCCCTTCGGGGATAAAAGGTGTGATGTTATGTTATGCAACAACGCGCGGCTTGTCCACAGTGACATTGATGTTACCAAACATGTCGACCAAAGTCCGGCAACGTCGCGTTACTTCACCCAACGTCGCTGGCCACACGTGTCACAGGACATTTTGTCCCCTTGTGTATCCTTGGTTTATGAGACTGAAAAAGAAACATGCATATATGGTTCTTTAGAAACAGTGTGGTTAATATAGGGTTAAGGTTGTAAGGGCCGATGATGAATTTTAGCTTAGAGAAGAATAATTATTTGTATGCGTTTGCGTTTAGCATGAATTCAACAACTGAAGAAAACTAGAGTATTTCCCAATACTTGCTAATACTAAAAAAACTAGACACAAAATATACTTTTATTGTACTCGCACTAAAACTTGCTCAGCAGTTTTGCGAACGCTTGGTAGAAGTCGTTAAAATGATATAAAAACAACAAAACACATTAATAAAAAGAAAACAATAAAAACACGCAAACAAAACAAATAAAAAATAAAGAATGGTTAACATTTAAAAGTGTTAAAAGGAAAAAACGTTCCGCTATGAATATCTAGCCCAAGGTCAACGACAAAAATTGATTTTAACTAACTTTACAAGTTAATAATTTTAGACTTATCTTTTTCGTTGAAGTTATTTTAATGAAGTCTACTATTTTGTTATTATTAATTAGGTATACTTACACTCCTTTTTGTCAGTCGTGTAAAAATTTTGTGTTATATTTTAATACTAGCTACTTCCGCGCGGTTTCACTCGTTCTGCTCGGCGCCTATTAATCGTAGCGTGATATTGTATACCCTATAGCCTTCCTCGATAAATGGGCTATCCAACACAGAAAGAATTTTTCAAATCAGACTTGTAGTTTCGGAGATTGGCGCGTTCAAACAAACAAACAAAAAAAAAACAAACTCTTCAGCTTTATAATGTTAGTATAGATGTGCAGCTCTGAACTCTGCCTACTCTTTTGGTGATGTTATGAAAGTAATGAGTGAAAGAAGAATTATTAGGATTGATTCTAAGTCTATACAGAATATCATCAAAACTAATTTCGAAGTAACAACGGTTATAAACTCTCCCCCAAATTTTGTACTACTGATCAAGCCCAAGCAGTCACCGGTTACCGCTCTCCACTCCATTATAGACCTTATTTCCGATGGTTAGAGACTACTTTTGTATGAACAAATTTTTGGGATTTTCGGTACGATGTATCAAGTGATTATAGTATTAAGTCTTCGAATATTATGACCGCATAGTCACTTGACTTATCCTCACTTCACATAGTTGATTTAAAAGGTATAGCTTACACACTTTCCTAGTTTTCAACCTATTTTCGCATCAATTTTCACCATAATCGGTCTAGCGGTTTCACCGTGAAAGCGTTACAAACGAAGTTACTTTCGCATTTGTCCTTGATCTTTAGGGACAAGCAAAACAGATGTAGCAATGACGTCAATATACTTAATATGTAGGTTAAATGTGTATACTGTTTTCGTTCCTTCATTATTTATAATGCCTTACATAGGTTTTTCTGCAAATTCAGTTGAATTTTGTATGTTTATTCTCATGATTTAACGTGCCTGCCATGCTAGAATTACATACCAGTTTGTAGTTCGAAATCAATCATATTTTAAGTAGTTCGTGACGATTAAAGCATCTATTATGCAGTTACCGTATACCACAAAAAGTTTGAAAATCTACAGTTTGACATATATTTTCGTTCCTTGTTCATTGTGGTGCACAGATTTTTTTTTATGGAATGAGCAGGTAAACGATCTGACGGATCGCCGATAAACAATTGGCGCCGCCCATGGACACCTGAAACACCGGGTGTTACAAGTGCGTTACCGGCCTTTAGGGGTTTAGGAATTTGAGGATTATTGAGGATTCGTGAATTGGGTATCGGTTTTCTGTGTGGTATCACTCCTGTCGAGCCGGCCCATTCGTGCCGGAGCATGACTCTCCCACGCATGTTACTCAATAGTAAAGACACAGTTCCTAAATCTTCCCTTTCTTTGTCCACAGATCAAAATCAGCCAATCACTCGCCGCTACAAAACAAATGGATTAGCCTTATATTATAATATAAGCCAATCAAATTAGACTAAGCATAACAATGTCGCGACACATAGTAACCGTTTGCATGTTCTGCCTGCTATGCGCAGCGCACTCGTGCGGCTCACACATAGACATACAAAACGACGGAGTACTTACATACGATGCTAATATTAATGATGTCGACCACTTAAATATAGACTTAGAAGAGAAAAGAAAACTACCATCGTCGAGATATCATCAGAAGTTACAGAAGATTAGACAGGGGAAGGCTAAGAGAGAGATCAAAGTGAATCCAGATACGTATGTGACGCAGATTTTTAGATTATACGGTGACGCTGGTAGTATGACGATGAATTTGACTGGGTTCAACAAGATGCTAGAAGAATTAGATCTACATAAATTAGTTGAGGGCGGAGAGAGAAGCGAGAGCCGAGGATACTTCCACGGACAGAATGGAAAAGAGGATGTTGTTAATGTAAGTTTTTGTGTATTTTTTTAATAGAATTTTTGAACTGATTAATAACTTTTAAAAGGGTCGATCCTCTTTCAAGACCCTAACATTTTATGGTTCAAAATACCATAGCCTAAAACCATTTCAATTTTAAATAGCAAAATGTAATGGCATATTTAAGTCTCCTAATCTAATCTTTTAACACATTATTTCTCTCTTTCCAGTGTATGAACAGCTCCGACCTAATCACAACAGTGAACACGCGGTTAAAACCCGCACACGACCACTCACACCCACACTCACACACAGAACACGGCGACCACGACCACGAGTCGGACGCCATCATCACAGAAACCACACTACAGACTATATGTCCCATACTCCTATACCAAAAACTAGCCAATACCTCCATAGAACGCACAGGATGCATAAAAGAAACCAGTATAGGAAGAAGAACTGACGTCACAATAAAACACGTTCCAGAAGAAAGTGCATACCACAAAAATATGTACGCTGTCTGGCTATATTCATCCTTATGTATACTAGCAATAAGTGCCTGTGGTCTTTTAGGAGTAGCTGTCATACCAATCATGCATAAAACTTATTACAATCATCTCCTACAGTTCTTAGTGGCATTGGCAGTTGGCACACTATGTGGAGACGCCTTACTGCATCTAATGCCTCATGCCATGAGTCCAGCTCATGACCATGGAGCTCATGGAGAGACAGAGTTAGAAGTACGAGCCTCGCATGACGATGGCATGTGGAAGGGACTCGCAGCTATGTTAGGAGTAGTCTTCTTCTACTTCACCGAAAAGGGGCTAACAGTTGTAGTTGAATGGAGAAAACGCCGCCAAAAGTTGGAGGAGGACAAACTCCCGACTAGAGTGCGAGTTCTTAAAGATGAGACAGTAGGAGGATGTTCAGGAGGTTCCAAAGCGGTAATAACGAACTCCACATCAAATTCTTTACTGAAAATCTTTAAGAGAGACGAGAAGGGTGACCCTACAACGAAGACTTGTAAGCACAAATATTCGGAGTACCCTTATTGTTATGACGAGATCGACACGGACACTCATGATGATCACCACTTAAGAGATGGTATACCTTCAAGTCCAAAGCATGGAAAGAAGCATAATAACTCCGTTAGTGTGGTATCTTCGAATGCTCTCAATGCTGAAGGTAAGGAGGAACCGACGGCTAAGGACTGGCTGCTGAAGGGTGAGACGACTCCTGCAGTGGTGGAAATGAATAATATCAAGCATAAAGAGGACGGTTCCAAGGATCTCAAGGATGGGGATAGTTATACTGTTATTTTGAGGTAAGTTTTTGTTTTATTTTAGTTTTCTTTCGTGATTCTTACGCCTTAGATGGTTAAGAATATATTCTGTTAAATACATAATGCGTCTAATGGTCAGAACTACCGTTTAGTACTTCACGATTTCGACTCCTGAGTTATGAATGACCGTTAAAGACTTCTCGGCTTCGAAGCTCGAGTTATGAACATGCCTTCCAATATTGTTACTAAAAACACGGTGTGTGTCATTTGAACTTTTTTGAACTTTTGTTTGATAATTTCGTATAAATATAATAATAATCAGCAGCCACTTTAATCAGCACTGACCTAATAAAAATCTTCGTCTCATCTTCATTGTCATCCCTTCTTCCAGAGAGCATTCGCGAGCGCACCACGGGCACTCCCATGCACACGGCCACGTGCACGCTCCCCCCTCGTCCATCGCCTCCGTGGCCTGGATGGTCATCATGGGAGACGGGCTCCATAACTTCACGGACGGCATGGCTATCGGTAAATATCTTAAAACTATTCACGGTATTGTTTTGATTTAGACCAGTGGTGGACAACGATCTTCCTGGGAATGTTCTTTTGTCCATTGTGTCGTGAGTTATGCTACCGGAGATCTAAAAGAAGTCGGAAAGCTTCTTGCTTGCTTGCTGACCACTTACCTATTATCTACCATAGTTGATCCGTAACTCATTTGTAATCTATCCCATTTCTTTGTAATCAGACTACAGTAGTATAATAACCTTGAATGGGAAAGCAAGATTCAGTACATTTCTTTTTGGTCTTGCTCTGAAATCTAGTTAATTTTATGACTACTATTTTGGCCTTATTGACACTGCAGTAAAAATCATATTATATCTAGCATAACTACTAACTATGAAGACATAAAAAAACACTGTCTTGATAGAAACGCCAGGTCGCCGTTTCCGTTTCATCTTCCTGTATAATATCTACTTTATTTCCCAAGCAATAAGGTATGTGTTCGCTTCTAGTGATTAATTTACAATTTGTATCACTTCCAGGTGCCGCGTTCGCGTCCAACATAGCTGGTGGCTTCTCAACAGCTATAGCGGTGCTGTGCCACGAACTGCCTCATGAATTGGGTAAGCAGAACACTTATAATTATTATCAGTATATTACTGTCTCATTGGCCGAGTGGTCGCAAGTGCGACTGCCGGACAAGGGGTCTCGGGTTCGATTCCCGGGTCGGGCAAAGTATTACTGGGTTTTAAAAAAAAAATCTCAGTAGTAGCACGGAGTCTGGAAATGTGCCCGGTATATGGCAATAGGCTCAGCCCCTATTACATGGGACTCATAACATAAATAGTGAAAAGTGGGTGTTACATTGTACAGTGGCATAATGTGCACCTCTGCCTACCCCTTCGGGGATAAAAGGCGTGATGTTATGTTACTATTTTTCTTCCACAGGAGACTTCGCAGTCCTCCTAAAAGCAGGCATGTCAGTACGTCGCGCAGTTGCCTACAACGTGCTGTCGTCGGGTCTGTGCCTGCTGGGCATGGTGTGTGGAGTCCTGGCTGGCCATGCACCGTCAGCCACTCGCTGGCTGTTCGCAGCCGCCGCCGGCATGTTCCTGTACATCGCTCTTGTTGATATGGTCAGTATACCTTGTTGTGTAATGGGATGTTGAGTGATGAGATACTTCGTGAGTTCGACTCTCGCAAAGTTCTTTACATAAAGTACAATTTGAATCACATGATCTTCAATTGTTTTTAATCTAGGTCTGATTTCGGTTCTGTAACCATGCTCGTGTGAGAGGGCAAATTAAAATTAAAAATGTATGTATATTTCATACAGCGGTTTAACATAAAGCAAAAGTGACTTAGCCTTATTCTCACCACATCATGTATAGTGACACCACTTTGTGTAAAATGACATTACACAGTATAAAATGGCATTAACTAACAATTTCCCATAATTCCACAGATGCCAGAGCTAAGTACATCGCACAGCAAAGAAGGGACCCTCTGCCAGTGCATCCTGCAACTTATGGGGCTTGCAACAGGCATCGGCATCATGCTGGTCATAGCCCTCTACGAAGAAGACCTAAAGACATTGTTCGGCTAAACTGTGCAAGTGCGCCAAACCTGTGCAAGTGCGCCAAACCTGTGCAAATGCACCTAAACATGTGCAAATGCCCAAAACCTGTGCAAGTGCCCAAAAAGTGAATTTTGTGTTGATAAATCCAGTGTTAGTGCCAATCGGACTTTAACAAGTTTAGCTAAGTGAACTTATGGTCTACGGCCATAGTGTATAGTTAAAAGTGAATGAAAGATACATAAAAATGAAAGTTTCATGAATTGACAGTACTCTCTCGAATATTTCGGTTTTTTTTTTCAGTGTATTTTTCGGTGCTAAGCTGTTTTGTAGATGGGCTTTTATGTGCAATGGCAATGTTGGTTATTCTGAAGTGAAAAACTAGGCTGCCCACTGCTCAACATAGGCCTCCCCTAATGAAAAACTAAGTTGCTATATAGCTAATCGAGTTGTTTTAACTACGACTGTCGAGTAACAGGTCTTGGGTTGAATTCCTGTATTAATGAGTATTTCGTTTTGTGAAATTCTTAATAATATGTATAGCATTGATTTTGGAACTGTGCTCTTATAGTTAAATTAATTATTGTTAATAAATGGGTAGTAACAGAAACATCCCTGTCTACCCCTTTTAGACTATTGTAGTCTAACTTATGTTCCTATCCGTCTGTCTCGTTCTACAACACATGTCTTATTTTCCATCCTTGTCACACATTGCCATTTTGCATATAAGTAATCTATAAATTTAATCTATCCTAATTATGTTTGAGTAGTTTTTGAGATTGTCGCGCGATGATACTTAATTGTACTTATCTAATTACTTAATTTTGAAAAAAATAATTAAGTTTAAATTGTTACTTGAAATTTTTTGAAACACCCTGTGTATTTTGAAGCGTTGTTCCTGGTTTCTGCATGTGGTAGATGTTGATTATGTTTCTTGATATGGTATGGGTTCGATTTGCTCAAAATTATCAATAATTTCACCATATCTGAATTTGCATGCTAAATCAATACTAGAAAACTATAGTACTTTTTCAACCGGGGAATCGAACCTTATCCAACATACTAAAATGTAATCAATAATCTAAAACTTGCAGAAAATCTATAGCCTACCTCTATTTGTTACAATCTAAATACAATTACTCTTTTTTTTGAAGACGGCTAACAAAAGGGTTTCAAAAAATTTTTAAATCCTATCCTACCTAGTACTTACGTATTGAAATATGTAAATAAATATACAAATTGTGATAATGTTGCTACGACGAAATTGTATGTATTGTATGTTTGTTTGTCTGTATGTATGTATGTATATTGGTACTCCCACACTGTCTGTTAATAATGTTAACAAATATTTTCAAATTATTTTTAATTACGATCATATTAATGTAAGGGAAATAATAAATAAAAGAAATGTTCTTTATTATATTTTCGTTGGTTAAAAATTGTGTTGACATTACAAAATCACACTTTTAAATTGATTTGGTGATATCAAGTCATATTTTTCTCAAAAACTTGTACATAGGAAGCTATAATTTGTCACTAATCACTATAGGTATCCAAAAAAGTATTGAATGTCAACCATTCATAAAGTTAAAGCGCTTAAAACATGTACCTAATTAAATATAACAATTCCTTATTATTTGTTAAAACAAGTTTGTTAAACTACTTTTAAAAATGTGTGTTAACAAAGAAGTTTGTTAACAATGATTATTAAAACGTATATTAACAAAGAAGTTTGTTAACATAGATTATTAAAACATATGTTAACAAAGAAGTTTGCCAACATTACTTTTTAAAATGTTTGTTAACATTGTTAACAGTAGTGTGTGAGTTTATAATTATGTATGATAACTCGAATATCATTAAATAGTTGCTTGTAATTAAACTAAACATGGTAATAGTACATAAGCATTACACTTTGTTCTTTCATTTTCTTCATTCATTTTACCTCTTTCTTGTCATACGATTTTGAGTCTTATAGCTTTGGGTTAAAGACTGCCTTGTTGGTCACAAATACTACCTACCCCAAATATATTTCCTGCGTCGTGGGTGCATTTATTCACATATAATTTCACATACAAACCATACACAGACTCAAAACAACAATTACTAATATTTGTGGTCAAAATTTTGTTGAATATATAACAATAAAATCATTCCTATTACATTGAATCGTCAAGACATACAGCATCGTCAGCTAAATAACAACCATTGCTGAACATACGCCTCCTAAAGACTTGGTATTTTTTTTTAAGGGGGAAAATCATCTAATGACTACTCCCAGCTGGGTGAGGCAAGAGGGAGTGTCAGACTCTTACTGACTAAAAACCACCCCGTTCCTTCTCCTGCACGTCGAGCCGGAGCCCCGGTTACCCGTTAGGTTCTCCGCGACAACTGCATGGTATAGAACTGATAATAATAATGAGTTCATATCATTAATTGTGGTCCTAATTTCAGTTCTGCCCACCTCAAAATTAATGAATGATCTACATAGAGCCGGTAGTTATACGCAAAGGGGTAAATTACCTTTCAAGAATATAAGAAACTGACTTGACTGCCTCGTTGGCCGAGTGGTCGCAAGTGCGGTTCGATTCCCAGGTCGGGCAAAGTATTACTGGGTTTTAAAAAAATCTTCAGTAGTAGCACGGAGTCTGGAATTGTGCCCGGTATATGGCAATAGGCTCACCCCCTATTACGTGGGACTCATAACATAAATAGTGAAAAGTGGGTGTTACATAACGTTAATTTTTATTTTAATGTTCGTCTGGTAGATTATTTTAAAACATTAGACACGTATTTTTTATTTTCTTACAGAAACGAATACTTTCGACGATATATTGATTTCAAATGTCGCGTGACGTCACTTCTATGTACATTTTATACGTGGAAATGGCGTTTTAGACCCCACTCCTAAACTTTGATTCGTTTTAACTAAGTATTGTTTTATTAAACGACAAAATAAAAAATACGTGTCTAATATTTTTTAATCACCTAACTTACGGAGAAATTATATTTTTAATTTTTATACCCTGTCATCGTCCCAGTTTACCTTTATTTTATGACCTTTGATGACATCAATGTTTATGACGTCATTTTTACGAACCGAATGACAAATCCTAAAAATATTTTGTCGACGCTAATAGTCCTTGCAGTTTCATTTCCTGTTCTGCTCCTAAACGTCGTAGCTTGATGATAGAACTTCCTCAACAATAAGATTGTTAGATAAATAGAAAATAGACCTCCATGGGAGACAGGCGTGAAGTTATGTATGTATGTATGTATAAACAGAAAAAAATGATTCAAATCAAACTGCTAAGATTCAGAGATTTATAATACATTTAAACAATTAATAAAATTCTTCATACTAAACCAACAAGGTAGTCTTTTATCAAACAAAATATTAACAAGATCAACAAGAACTACCGTTTTTGCTCGAACTAGGTGGCGCTAATGTAGCTTATAGTCATGTCCGTCTAAGAATAGTTCCCTACACGGCTGTTAAAGTTCGGATTGTATTTATCGAATTGTATTTGGCTATCATAATTGGTGAAAAGTGGGTGTAATTTTGAATATATACCGTGATATCGACGGGGATTGTGAAAATCCGCGAATCTACCAAACGTAAAGGCCGCGTATCTGCAATACATCCAGTTAAAACTTAATAACTTTATTAATTCAATGAATTTGAAGCTCATTTTATTAAAAATGAATCGAAATTAACTCGTGTCAAGGCGGTGACAGCCAATTAAGATTTTACGGGATTATTCTGCGAAAACTTCAATTAGACATTGTCTAATACACGGAATCATCCACTGCTAGTTCCGCGGATCTACTATCTACACTATCCCCGACGATATTATGGTTTTTTTTTTCTAGACACGATTTTAGACCACATTAGCGCCCCCTGGCGGTTAATTCCTTTCATAAGAAGGCCATTTGTCCTTTAAAACTGTTCCTATTGTTTACGCTCTATTTGAAATAACATTATAATAAAAATTAAAGTAGAAGAATGCTAGTTAAGCCTCTCATTAATACGTTTTCAACTTTAGTACGAACACATGAGGTTGGAAATCGAGTAAAGAAATCTGCCTACCAGTCTTGGTGCTACATACGTAACTACAGTAACGGCTTTATATCAGGCAGACTAGGCTTGTTTGCCCTAAAAATGAAAAACTTCAATTTTGCACTTTATTGCAGAGACACTAAGAGTCAATTTAGCAAAATTTACATCAATCTCTACATCTACAGCGACTATACACCTTATAATCAACGCAATGAAGGTCAAAATTGAATAATAACCAAAAATTGTTCTCATGTTTTTCAAATAGAGTGTAAATATCTATATAATAATTATATCTTCTAATAATAAATACCACTGTATACTTCCATAGTTGTGTCGGGTATAAAAACTAAATATTGTATGGACTTAGGGCTCGTACACAAAACTACGATGCGAATTCGCAAAACAAAAAATTACGATGCGAATTGCTGCGATGACATTTCGTGCGACAAGGCGTATACATGCGCGAAAGTGATTTGCGGCTAACTTAACATCTGCCATAATTTGTGAACCGTACTGTACATTTCCTCGGTCAATTACATGGACACCATAGATAGAAATGTCACCTCAATCTGACTATACAAGATGTTGTTTTAAAGCCGCGTCATTTTCTAGGAGGTAACTCGGGTATCGATTCTGAGTCCGAATCAATAAAAAATATTGTAGGTCAATTTTTCTGTAAATTACGGAAATCCGTAAGTGCGAACTACGCGCCGCCGTCTTGTAACTAGCTTTATAACGCGGCTTAACACACACAAACTCAAACACTTAATTGATATTATTCCGAATTCCATAAAACTCCAATAAGAAGAATTGTTGTCGCTTTTTCTGTAATACTGTCGAACTTAAACGATTTATTATAGCCGTATTTTTAACTATTGACCCGAAACTTTCTCTTACATTGAACCTTTATGACTTCGGTGACATGCCCCCGAGAAATGACAAGGCTTTAAAACTACACCTTGTTTATATAAATTAAATAATTAAAATATTTACATTATAAATACGCCTATATGATTAACACAAATTGTTTTGTACTTAGACAAATTTTGTGTGGTTCCATGGTTTACGTCTCTACTGAGTCTGCAACAGTTTATAAATCTTGGTGTTTTACAAATATCTTCCATTAAATATAGCTTCCTTAATATTTATGCCCGATACAAAAATGTACAACGAAAATTAACATTTCAAATGATCCAATAAGTAAGGTGCGTTTACATAAAAATAAATAAATATATGCATTTGTTTTCGTAGCTAAAAATAATTAAAAATCACTTATGTACGTATGTCGATAATATTCTGCTGATAATATTGTGATTTTCATATCGATATGTCGATGGTACAACACTGTGCTTAGACCAAAATCAACGTGGATTATAAACAGATGCCTAATTTTTATTTTAATGTCCGTCTGGTAAATTATTTTAAATCATTAGACACGTATTTTTCATTTTCTTATAGAAATGAATACTTTCGACGATATATTGATTTGAAATGTCCCATGACGTCACTTCTATGTACATTTTATACGTAGAAATGACGTTTTAGCCCCCACTCCTAAACTTTTATAAGTATTGTTTCATTATACGACTAAATAAAAAAATACGTGTCTAATACGATGTCACTTCTAGGTACGTTTTATTAACGTAATATTAACTCTTAATTCGTATTATCTAAATTTAGTTTTCTTTTACAAAATTAAAAAATATTTGTCTCGTTTTTACTGAAGCTCACAATTTTTACTGCCTCATTGGCCGAGTGGTCGCAAGTTCGACTGCCGGGCAAGGGGTATTTCCGGGTCGGGCAAAGAATTATTGGGTTTTTAAAAAAATATCAGTAGTATCACAGAGTCTGGAATTGTGCCTCATATATGGCAATAGGCTCACCTTCTATTACATGGGACTCATAACATAAATAGTGACAAGTAGGTGTTACATTGTACAGTGCCGTAATGTGCACCTCTGCGCACCCTTTCGGGGATAAAAAGGCTTAATGTTACGACAAAATTTTTAATTTTCATAGCTTGTTATCATCATCCCTATTCTAAAGAATAGAAGCACAGAAGTGCTAATTGCTGCAGACAGATGTAGTCTTAGCTTTGTGGGTTGTTTAAAACCAATTCACATAGATCTTGGTCTAAGTATAGCTATCGATTTTAACTTAATAGAAACTAAAACATCGAGGCTAACCTATGTAAAAATTGTATGGACCATTGTGTGTGAATATTAATTTTTTAAATATTTGTTCATGATTTTCCTCTATATGCTCTGTTCCTTTGTCAATGTTTAATAGTCTATAATCTTCTTTAAAATAGTACTGTCAGATGTAACAAAGGTTTTTCATATTGGAGTTGTTCATTCCAGAGATTTTAGTACAATAAGGACGTTGAAACACAGCCGGACAGTCTCTTAAAACAACGACTGTGGTACCTGGCTACTATAGACTTTTTTTTTTCTCTTTGGCAAACGAGTCGTAAGAAGAGAAAAAAAAAACGAGTATACACGCAGAACAAACACATATTGACACGAAGGACATCTGTCATTGTCTTAAGTCTGGTAACGTGGTACCCATTACACACGCACACATAAATAACCCACTGACACTTTTGGTGCTTCAATCATTTCTAAGTGACATTTGTTGGAATACTGAAACGCTACTTAATTTTAAGTCGCGCTTAAGTATAGTTCTGTCTCTACAAATTCTTTGTAAAATGACAGAGATGGCACGATATTTAAGCACGACTTAAAATTGAGTAGCGTTTCAGTATTCCGACAATTGTGTCTTATCAACGTTCTTGATACTAATAAACAAAATTATGTGTTAAGTAAAAACGCGGGTTACTCACATGAATATA